AGAGAGACGAGATAATGTGCAAAGCAAGCTCAGAGACTGGTACCTTTATAATAAAACAGATAACTAGCAGAAGTAAAATGTCTGCGAAGATGTGCTTTAGTGGCACGAAACGCGCAGGCATCTTTCCTATTGTTGTGTGCCCCCCCCCTTATAAATGAGCTGCTTTTACTCAGTTTCACTTGAATTATTTTTGTCGTGTGTGGAACCTATTCCTTCAGTTTTTTTTATTACATAAAATCAAAATGTATATAAAGTAATCACCAGCAGCAGTCCTTCAACATAGCCTTTCAATTCACTGCACGTTTCAGATTACGTTTGCTGGAGTCCAGTCTATATGAGGAGAACTAGTGGGTCTGTTGGTAATACCGTACCGGTATGGGCAGTAAAGGAAGTCAGCATTAATTTAAGATTTACTTATCTGCAAGATGTAACGGGTATTACTCAATTAGATACAAAATGCCATTTCCATCTGTGGCTGAAGAGGGTGCAGGGTGTGGGTTCTTATCAAACCACTTCATTTGGGGATGGTGTTCATACACTCATAGCATCGTAAACAATAAATGAGAAGATATGGTGCTTATAGTGTCCCTTTATGTAAACCGCAAACAAGACACCGTTCTATATATATTTTTTCTCTGAGTTTATAAAGTAACTGAAGCAGAATAGCAGGCTCTTTCACAACACTTCCTGTGTTAACATCAGATGATGTCAGTCTACTATTGACTTCCCTTCTCTGAAAGTCCTAAAAGCATCATGGGATTTGTAGTTTATATGGATCTTTAGCCACCTCTGCAGTAAATGTATTTCCTTAGATTCTTAAAACCCTAGACCTCACCTCTGCTCTCCTGTTCTCTGCACTATTCGAGCCCATTATTTATGTTTAAGGTCTGTCCCATTGAGGAATCATATACTCTTCGAATTCCACCCATTGTCATCAGCTACAAGCAGAGAATCAATTCAGCTTAGCGTTTCTGCTAAGAATCTTCACGGATATTTAAAGCAATTTTAGTGTCACATAAATTCCAGGTTTGGGTTTCTTTTTTACATGCATTTGCATGAAGAATATTTACAAATGCTTAAGTTACACGCAGGCTTTACGTATTGGAAATTCAATCTGTTTTGCTAAATCCTGGAATGCAAGTATTGTGGTTTCCACAGGTGATTTATACTGGACATTCTATGCGGACACGGAGAGACACGGACTTCTTTGAATTAGCTCTCAGTCGATGGGGTGGGTGCTTATAAAATAGCACCATTGATGGCACCAAATTCACCAGCATCACACAAAGGGGGAGCAGAGCCAGCACAGCCAGCTCCCCCCTGCGGCCGCCAGCACAGCCAGCTGTCTGTCCGGCTCCAGGTGCCGATGGCCCACCGGGACATTTGCCAGTATGCCGGTGGGCCAGTCCGCCCCTTGCATCAGGGGAGAGGTAGTCCACAACATCTGGAGTTCCGAACATTTTCTATAACTGGTCTAGGAGATGCTATACCAAACAGACTCAAAATATTTATTACAGGAAAACCTCCATATTATTTTATGGAAAAATAAGCAATTAAATGTACTATAGCATTTTTTTTGTGCATTATTTTGTTATGAATTTATATTAATAGCTGCTTTTGATTCATCTCCTGACACCCTATTGCTCTCTGGAGCAGCCATCTTTAGCCTTCGTTAGTCAGAATCTCCTATCATTTGCCAAGGTAATGCAAAATACGAAGGCCTAAATCATATTGCATATGATGACAGGATTTTTCACTGCACACTAGCTCTCCATTCCCTTCAAAATATGAACCTGTGCTTATACCCAAAAAGGCCTTAAAAGATGGCTTCCCCATACAGCAAGGTTGACACAGGAAATTCACAGACTCCAGAAAAATAAATCCTGGAGTCAAATGAAGACTACATCAAAAAAGCCCCCCCAAAACGAATCAGTTAGAAAGAACACACATGTATTGTAAAGTGTTCACCCATTCAAGGTATTGGCAGGATTGTCAATCTATACAAAATGGAGATTGTAGGTTCAAACAGTATTATTGTGAGGTAAAATGTATCTTTAAGCTACATACTCTTAGACCTTTCGGCCTGAATAGTGAGCTTGATGTCCAATTACTTGTAAATACCATCTATCTTTACAGGGATTTACTATTATTTTTTCGCTCAGCTGGTTGTCGCGGGACGTCGGAGGGGGCGGAGTTTTAACCCAGTGCCATTAGAATAAAAAAAATACAAATGGATACAATTTATGTTTAAAATATATAACACATGTTTATTTTCAAAAAGTGTGTTCTTCCAAATAATAGGTCTCCATTTTGTGGACTAACCGCTATAGGTTTCATTATAGACAAATCATAAACAACAAGATTTAATAAATTCATGGCAGCATGGATTGACACTGACAATTTTATAGACATCTGTGGGTGAACTGTGTAGTGCTCTCTGATGACACGATGTAGAGATAGGTTGAAGTAAAATAAAATATACTCACAAGTGGAGTGCAGGCCTGTCTGCACTCGGATGATAGCGTGGGTGGTATAATCCCCACCTTAGGATAAGTAAAATGCCAGGAAAAGGTGATCAAAGATGTATAAAATAAAATTGTATAAAGGAATATCAATTATTATCAATTTGATAAAGCCCCAGTGATGAAATGCGTTATTGGTTTTATTATACTGTATATTTTATATAAATAAATAATTTTGTTCTATTATTCCTTTATACAATTTTATTTTATACATCTTTGATCACCTTTTCCTGGCATTTTACTTATCCTAATGTGGGATTCTGCAAATTCTCAGCAGATCCCAAGGAAGGCGCATTTTTAGGCACTTCAAAAAAAATGAAACATTTATGGATTTCTTAATCAACAAAATAAAACTAATAGAAATAAAGTTAATTTGTTATACTTTTCAATAATGTATGTTTTTTCCCCCCAACTAGATAGAAAATCAGATTTCTAATTTATTGGCATGACATTCTCTTACTCACCATCGTGATTTCCAAGTTTCTGTATAAGATTTGAGTTGTGTATGTGGTTATTTGCAACAATATGTACCCACTTTTTGATTACTACAGCCAGTATACTTTTTAAGTAAAGTTTTACTTGAATGTTACTTGTTTTCAATTGTGAATTTTCCCAGGCCAGTCCTTTTTGTGCTTCTGATTTTTCTATAAAATATACTCACAAGTGGAGTGCAGGCCTGTCTGCACTCGGATGATAGCGTGGGTGGTATAATCCCCACCTTAGGATAAGTAAAATGACAGGAAAAGGTGATCAAAGATGTATAAAATAATAATTGATATTCCTTTATACAATTTTATCAATTTGATAAAGCCCCAGTGGTGAAACGCGTTATTGGTTTTATTACACTGTATATTTTATATAAATAAATAATTTTGTACTATTATTCATTTATACAATTTTATTTTATTAATAATTTTTTATATATATATATATATATATATATATATATATATATATTTTACATATTATATATTTTTTTTATCTGTGTATTTTTTACTATTTATTATTTTTCCTGGCGCAGCCTTTCATTGCTTTTGTTGTACATAATGTAAAGAGGTAACTTTCCATTTGTGTGACTCTCCTGTGTGCGCGGCCGTCTGCCTGTGTGTGTGTGCGCGCTACCATCTGCGACTGTAATTGTGTGTGTGACTGCATGCAGTGGCGTACACACAACCCATGGTGCTCAGGTGCGAAAACTGATCCGTGGGCCCCCCCGCACTTACTCTGCGCGGGCTGGGGCCGCAACACATGGCGGCGGGCACCTGGTCGCAGGGGTGGCAGGGCTGCGACTGCGGTATGTACGCCAGTGCATGCAGCTACACATAAGCTTAAAGGACCACTACAGACACCCAGATCACATCAGCTCAATGAACTGGTCTGGGTGCCAGGTCCATCTAGTTTTAACCCTGTAGCTGAAAACATAGCAGTTTCAGAGAAACTGCTATGTTTCACTGAGGGTTAATCCAGCCTCTAGTGGCTGTCTCATTGACAGCCGCTAGAGGAGGTTCTGCGATTCTCACTGTGAAAATCACAGTGAGAAGACACTTAACGTCCATAGGAAAGCATTGAGTAATGCTTTCCTATTGGCGGTTTGAATGCGCGTACGTTCTTGCGGCGCATGCGCATCCGGAGCTGAGAGGCGGATCGGGGCGGAGGGATCCCCAGCGCCAAGGGAGTCCGGCGCTGGAGAAAGGTAAGTGCTGAAGACACACACACTCACGAACAGACGCATACACACTAGCAGACACACACATTTACTGACAGACACACACTCAGTGACAGACATACATACACACTCACTTACAAAACACACACTCACTAACAGACACCAGACTCACTAACAAACACACAAACTAAGACACTCAGTAACACACACTGACACACTAACACACACAAACTCTAACACGCACACACTAACACCAACACACACACTCTAACACCAACACACACACTAACACCAACACACACACTCTAACACCAACACACACACTCTAACACACACACTTTTTTTTTTTTTTTTTATTTAATCCCCCAGCCTCCCTACCTTTGGGAGTGCTGAGGGGATTCCCTGGGGTTCAGTGGTGTTGCTGGGCGGCCGGTCACCGGGCGGGCTGGCTGGTGGGCCGCGTACTGATGCCGGAAGATGACATCAGCCTATCCGCCGGTGACATCAGGGCCAGCCTCGGGGGGGCCCTGAGGTGGCCGGCTCCTGGGCCCCCCAGGAGAAGAGGCTGGCCACACTGGGTACATACCGGGTCGCAGGGCGGCCGGGTCCCCTGGTGGGCCAGGCCCGGTTGCAGCCGCGACCCCGGTATGTACGCCACTGACCGCATGAGGACTTCCAGCGTCAGATTTTTTCCTTATAAGAAAGCATTAGACCCCGCTTGTCGCGGGACGTCGGAGGGGGCGGAGTTTTAACCCAGTGCCATTAGAATAAAAAAAATACAAATGGATACAGTTTATGTTTAAAATATATAACACATGTTTATTTTCAAAAAGTGTGTTCTTCCAAACAGCATTATAAAATTGTAAAAATTGCATCTCTGAAGAATACAACATGGAAATGATTGTAGACAATATAAAACAAAATACACACAAACAGAAATACCTTATACGAAATAATATGTATGCAGCACACATGTCCGACACTAGGAGTAAGAGTTCGAAAGAAATTAGGCTTTGAACTGCAAATAAAGACAAGTATGATAGCCAATGAGAGATCCCGTCTCTGTTTGCAGTTTAAAGCCTCATTTCTTTCGAACTCTTGATCTCTGATTCCCTACATGGAATTTAGAACACTGTCAGACAAATACCGTTTAACCAACACATATATTTTTTATTGGCATTTGTGTAGCACCAACTTATTCCGCTGTGCTTTACAATATTATAAAGAGGGAAATGAATAATAAATGAGAATTACAAAATGTTATTGGAACAATAGGTTGATGAGGACCCTGTTCAAGAGAGCTTATGTAAAAACACAATAGAAAGGGCGACTTGGATGACAGCAACCAAGAACATTAGGTCGCACTGTGTTTGAAAATGGACTGTGATGTCTCTATGACCTTTCCTGCTTCACTCCCTGCCTGTACAGTCTCATACTTCCCAAGTGTCTTTATTTTCACAGGGGCAGTCCCTATTTTTGACCCAAATTCCTCTGACGTTTCTATCCGAATATCCCTCTTTTCTAGTAAATCCATATGGTTGGTGTGTCTGAGTGTATAACAAAGCTCCACAGCAATAATATTCACAGTAATGGGTCTTTAAACTACAATAATGTGTTGGGTATAGGCATGGAAAAAGGATTTTCTGGGTGTCCCCAGTCACAGATAACATGAGGGCAAATGGTCTTCTTTGCCCCCATTTTAAATGTAATTGAATACTTTTGCATGAGTTTAAGTTCACAGCACGTACAAAACCACCCACAAGACTATCTCTATATTCACTGGATTATCACAAGAGCAAAAATGTAATTTAAAATATGGTTTAGGTGGTAATTTTCTCAGGGTGTACACTCTAATGCATTGCTTTGCATGCAGCTATGGTGTTAAGAAATCTGACTGTGTAATTAAGATACTTTGTTCAAAATTACATTTTCAGTTTAATGGCCATCAGGACATGCAATCAGCCAAAACCGTCCTGGAACAGCCATGTCCCAAAGCCACTCCCCAACTGCACCCCCTAAAATATCATTGTCCCTCTCTGGACATTTACAATGTTCAATAGAATCCAGTCCATGGAAGTTCTGATAGTGTTCTATAAGCTCAACCAACAAAATATTTGGGGCTTTATTTACTAAACTTTAAATAATAGGAAGGAAAATTTGAAAATTTAGACCAAACAAGTCTTTCAATGCTCCCTTATAATTAAAAAATAAATAAAAATAAATTTGGGAACCAATTCACCTTCATTTTAAACAAACCATTGTCTACGCAACCTCATTTGGTCAGCTCTTCCTGTAATCGCTCAATAAGATATTCACCAAAACTACCTCTACCATCTGGTGTACAGTTGAGCCGGTGTGCGTTTGTAATGACATCTCCTGTCAGTTTAACCTTCTTCATTGTTGGTTCAAGAAAATGCTTCTTTATTAAGCTGGCGCTGTGGGGATCCAAACAGTCCATGCTTAAACTGTACAGCTCCTCAAAGTATACCTGCATAATCTTCCACTGGTCCAGTGCCATATTTAATGCAGTCATTAAATCCCGAACATATTCACAGCTTGGCTTCTATCAACAAAATGGTAACATTTATTGTCAGGTCACAACTGGGAAACATTCAGTAGACCAGGCATTGTGGAAAATGATCAGGAAAATTGAAATCTTGCAGGGTTTTTCACTAAAAGGAAAACTACAAATAAATTCAATGTGAATTTCAAATTTAAAGGAACAGTATAGGGTCAGGAACACAAATGTGTATTCCAGACCCTATAGTGATAAAAAAAAAAAAAAAAACACATGTAGAGTCCCTGCTGCCTCCCTTAAAATAAACAAAACTCACAACAAAAACTAAACTAAAAAAATAAATATATTTGTACCTCTCCTTTTCTCAATCATTTGGGATTCCTAAAAAAAAGATAGGCCCATATTTCTCTGCTCCCCTATCAACAGATGCCCAGGTATATAAGAGGAAAAGGCACCCCAGGTTATTGTTATTTTTGGTATTTATGTAGAGCAAACTTATTCAGCAGTGCTTTACAATAATGTGGAAGGGGGAAATTTAACAATAAATCGGACCATTACAAAATGATACAAGAATAGGTACATGAGGACCCTGGTCAAACGAGCTTACAGTCTAGAGGAGTGGAGTATAAAGACACAACAGGAAGGGTATCAAGGGGGACAGCAAACAAACAAGGTGAAAAAGTAGCAGAACTCCAGGTGAGAGTGGACTGTGGCTCTTTAACCCCTTAAGGACCAAACTTCTGGAATAAAAGGGAATCATGACATGTCAGACATGTCATGTGTCCTTAAGGGGTTAAGAGAGAGCAAGAGAACAATTTGTGACATAAAAGTTACTCTGGGAAGCCATAATCTTTCCTGAAGAAATTTCTTAAATGATTGAAGACTATGGGAATATCTGATGGGGGTAGCAGGCTGTTCCAAAGGAAGGAGCCACCTGTGAAAAGTCCTGCAAGCGCGAGTTAGCAGTAAGGGTGCGAGCAAAAGACTGGTCACTGGCAGAGCAGAAAGACAGAGAAAGGGCATATCTGGGAATCAGTGAAAACATTTTAACAGGGACTAGAGCTGTTTCGCGCTTTATAGGTAAGTGTTAGTATTTTGAATTGACACCTATAGGATACAGGAAGCCAGTGCAAGGATCGACAGAGGGGTGAGGTATGGGAGGAGCAACAGGAGAGAAAGATCAGTCTGGCGGCAGCATTCATTATAGCAACAAGGCAGTACGGCTTCTGGGAAGACCAACTAAGAGAGAATTACTGTAATCCATGCAAGAGATTACACGAGCATGAACAAGCTCCTTGGCAGCATCTTGCGTAAGAAAGGGGCGGAGGTTGTTCATAAACGGAGCCCACACCGATTGGTACGGGTTCCTCATTCACACCATTAAGCAACATGCCTCCTATAAAGTGTTCTAGGTTACGGCTTTACTGTTGTCTCGTATTTTTACCTGAATAGTTTTTGAGCAGTAAAATCCGCCACGATTGGCCATGTGTTTTAACAGTAACTGAGCAGCCTCCTCTTCGCTCTTTGACTGTTCATGGAAGAACTTCGAGACACGGAAAAGAGCCACACTATCTTGATCAAATACTTCGGCCTAACATTAAATAACAAGGCATTGCATTAATAACTATTACAATAAAAAACAAAAAAATACCAAAACAAAAATATTGCAATAAAAAAAATATGGTAAAAACAAAAAAACAAAAATAAAATATATTTTGTCCATTGAATGGACTCAATATTCTGATGAATCTTATGTAATAGATCTTAAAGGTTTATTTTCTCCAGACTACAAGTGGTTACATTTTTAGGTGCTGGTTATGAGTAATGTGGCATGTCTGGAATGTGTTTATGTAATCACCGAGGAACATTTTAACAGAAAAAATAGATAAATCTCAAACTAAGGTTTATAGGAGTATCGGGAGTGCCATGTGTCAAAATGAAATTGTTGCCTCAATTTCTGTCTCATTCTGCACAATTTCGTCACATTATGATCTGGAGAAAAATAAAGATCTTGAAAATCATCTTTGTAAAGTCTGGATATGGAGCACAAATATGCTTTTCTTGCCAAGTACACCTCACATATAATCCACTATATAAATTTTATGCATTTGTTATTTTATGTCAAAGTCAGAGGCTAAATAATAATAATAATAATAATAATAATGATAATAAAAAAGTGGTACATTTTAGTTTGTTGAATAAAAATACATGTAATTAAAGACAACATATTCACTTGTCCCTGAAAAATTGTTTGTGCGTTGCTGAAAAATGTCTTAATCTAGGCCAGGGAGACAAACGAATAATAAATTAAATAGAGGTGAAATGTTCTGTATCCGGATTAAAATAAACAAAAAAAAAAAAAAAAAATCTGCTGGTTACACAATATCTGTGTCACGCCTTAGGATACTGAAAAGGAAACGGTCTTTTTTTCAAGCAGATTAATATATTTAAAGTAACAGCAGGAAAGAGAATCAGGCCTAAAATGGAGCCATGAAGACTTTAACTCTTCACACGCCAAGGAGGGGTGCCATTACTAATCTGATGGTTAGAAAGCGGTTGCTTGCTCACTATTTTGGCGCCCTGGGTTTTAAAATTGCCTACCTCCCGTTACAGATGATGTATCCCTTTGTGGGGTTTAATAAAACATGGAAAGGCTTGTGTGAACAATTTTTTTGTATTATTGATATCTGAATACATTGAAGCCAATTGGTCATTGAACAGATAATGTAAAAAGGGGGCGGGGGGAGCATAATCTCAGAACAACTGAGTTTCATTACATTCCGGCAGATTCACAGATTAGCATTTTATTTATATAGCACTAATAGGTGTACTTAGCACTACTTTACAGGTTACATTACAGTAGAGGGAGGTACAGTAAGTATACAGTGTATGTATATTTTATTTATGTAGCACTAACAGGTGTACTCAGCACTTTACAGGGTACATTACAGTACAGGGAATTACAGTTAGTGCAGTAGGTATACAGTGTATGCATATTTTATTTATATAGCGTTAACAGGTGTGCTTAGCACTTTACAGGTTACATTACAGCAGATGGAGGTACAGTAAGTGCAGTAGGTATACAGTGTATGTATATTTTATTTATATAGCGTTAACTGGTGTGCTTAGCACTTTACAGGTTACATTACAGTACAGGGAAGTACAGTTAGTGCAGTAGGTATACAGTGTATATATATATTTTATTTATATAGCACTAACAGGTGTACTCAGCACTTTACAGGTTACATTACAGTAGAGGGAGGTACAGTAAGAGCAGTAGGTATACAGTGTATGTATATTTTATTTATATAGCGCTAACAGGTGTACTCATCACTTTACAGGTTACATTACAGTAGAGGGAGGTACAGTAAATGCAGTAGGTATACAGTGTATGTATATTTTATTATTATAGTGCTAACAGGTGTACTCAGCACTTTACAGGTTACATTACAGTAGAGGGATGTACAGTAAGTGCAGTAGGTATACAGTGTATGTATATTTTCTTTATATAGCACTAACAGGTGTGCTTAGCACTTTACAGGTTACATTACCGTAGAGGGAGGTACAGTAAGTGCAGTAGGTATACAGTGTATGTATATTTTATTTATATAGCGCTAACAGGTGTACTCAGCACTTTACAGGTTACATTACAGTAGAGGGATGTACAGTAAGTGCAGTAGGTATACAGTGTATGTATATTTTCTTTATATAGCACTAACAGGTGTACTTAGCACTTTACAGGTTACATTACAGTAGAGGGAGGTACAGTGCAGTAGGCATACGGTGTATGTATATTTTATTTATATAGCGCTAACAGGTGTACTCAGCACTTTACAGGTTACATTACAGTAGAGGGAGTACAGTAAGTGCAGTAGGTATACAGTGTATGTATATTTTATTTATATAGCGCTAACAGGTGTACTCAGCACTTTACAGGTTACATTACAGTAGAGGGAGCTACAGTAAGTGCAGTAGGTATACAGAGTATGTATATTTTATTTATATGGCGCTAACAGGTGTACTCAGCACTTTACATGTTACATTACAGTAGAGGGAGCTACAGTAAGTGCAGTAGGTATACAGAGTATGTATATTTTATTTATATGGCGCTAACAGGTGTACTCAGCACTTTACATGTTACATTACAGTAGAGGGAGCTACAGTAAGTGCAGTAGGTATACAGTGTATGTATATTTTATTTATATAGCGCTAACAGGTGTACTCAGCACTTTACAGCTTACATTACAGTAGAGGGAGGTACAGTAAGTGCAGTAGGTATACAGTGTATGTATATTTTCTTTATATAGCACTAACAGGTGTACTTAGCACTTTACAGGTTACATGACAGTAGAGGGAGGTGCAATAGGTATATAGTAGAGGGAGTGCAGTAGGTATACAGTGTATGTATATTTTATTTATATAGCGCTAACAGGTGTACTCAGCACTTTACAGCTTACATTACAGTAGAGGGAGCTACAGTAAGTGCAGTAGGTATACAGAGTATGTATATTTTATTTATATGGCGCTAACAGGTGTGCTCAGCACATTACAGTAGAGGGAGGTACAGTAAGTGCAGTAGGTATACAGTGTATGTATATTTTCTTTATATAGCACTAACAGGTGTACTTAGCACTTTACAGGTTACATGACAGTAGAGGGAGGTACAGTAAGTGCAATAGGTATATAGTAGAGGGAGGTGCAGTAGGTACACAGTGTATGTATATTTTATTTATATAGCTCTAAGCGGTGTACTTGGCATTACAGGTTTCGTTAGTTTACAGGAAACAATCTTTATAAAACACAGTGATACCTTTCCAGTGTCCAAATGATTGAGATTACCAATGGTTAATGTACCAGCTCCTGTCTTAAACATGTAACATTACAGACAGTTATACAGAATGTTGGATGGTTTCTCCCTCTCCCTCATTAACATAATAAGTTACAGTTAATTGGTTTTGTGTCACTGAATGATTTTTAATTAAAAAGTGTCCACTGCAGCAGTGCTCAGTGAATGTTATTTTTTTCTCCTCCTTCTCTGGCCCAGATTACTGCCCCAGCACATCAACAGCCTCTCTCCACCCCCTACTATGCCCCTTGTGTATGGGTAGCATTCCAGGCAGGCACAGGACACTGCCTGGCACCCTCCCCTCCTTACCAGGGCCTGGAACTTGTATGAGAGCTGCAGCAGGGAGCTGATCACCTCACAGAGACTTTCTTCCAGCTCTGGGGAGAAGTTCTGCCTCACCCTGCAAACTTTGTTTTGTTGGTGCACAGGGCAGCTGGGCAAGGTCCCCTTAACCCTCTTCTTCTTGGGTTCAGCCATGTGTGTGTAAAACCCGGCAGTGATCTCTAACACTTCTGCTTTGTGGATAAAGGAGGAGCCTGACTTATCCTTGGCACAGACTCTTAGATTTAACCCACAGAATGCTAGTGCAAACAGTATCCTCGATGCCTCTCCACCTTTCACATGGTAAAAAAAAAAACAGTGCCAAAGGAGGAAGTTGAAATGGTTAAAGGGTTATCAGCTTAATCTAGCATTACACACATTCGCAAAAAACATATAAATCACTCCAGCTCCACATGAAGTATTTTTCTATATTTGCTCAGTAATTCATATAATCAGGCCAATGTAAACCAGGTTAAAGGGACACTTTAGGCACCCAGCTCAGTTCAGCTCATTGAAGTGATCTTGGTGCACTGTCCCTGTCCTCCTTAACCCTGTAATTTAGAGACACTGCCAGGGTAAGAATGCCTCTAGTGGCCACTAGAGCAGCTTTCTGCGGTTTCACAGTTTGACTCTGAAATGACGCTATCGTCTTCACACTTTGCATGAGAACGTTTTCCCGATAAGAAAACAAATTCAATGCTTTCCTATGGGGAAGGCCCAAATTATTGTTATTACAGGTATTTAGGAGGCACCAACATATTCGTAGCGCTTTACAATATTATAAAAAAGGGGGAGATTGAACAATAAATTAGACAATTACAAAAACTTGCAGGAACAATAGGTTAAAGATCACCCTGCACAAACAAGCTTAGAGTCTAGAGGAGGAGGGCTATAAAACACAAGACAGGAGATAGCATGTATATAAAGAAATATATTTCGCAGAACACCTACATTATACGTTACTCAATAACGAAGGGATAAAGGCACTGTAGCTACTTTGAAACACTTTAGGGGATATTAAATAAATTCCTAAATCTGACATTTATATCCAAATGGCAACATTTAGATTACAATAGACACATTGTAACTAGCTTGGAGAATTTTACCAGCTCACGAATCATCGTCTGAACTGCAGTGGTTGAAATGTGAATAGGACATTTTTAGTTTAGCAAATAAACTCCATACGATGTAGAGTCAGCGGATGCTGGAGAAAACAAAAAGTACACAGAAAATTAGCCTATGGACCAAGTTTTGGGTCCTGACCCAATGGCAGAGAAGGATTAACATTCCGCACTTCCCCGGCAGGCTACCAGAATGCCCCCCTTGACTCATTCTTTACTCAGGGATAGTGAATGATGTCAAGCAAATGCATGGTTCTGGGGCCCCTGTATAACTCTTGGGCCATCTAATGTCACATTCTCATAAATCCTGCCCAGCCCAAGCGTTAGGAACCAGTGCCATAACACCCACTTTCAAATGGTCCAATTTCCTGTCCTAGGGACTGGTCTGTGGAGTAAGAAATGTGTTATCCTAACAAAGTGTGATTAGCGTAACATTTACTTATGCAAACATATTCTTTTCACCAATAGCAGAGTAGATCCAAATTGTCTTCATTACCAAACCTCTTCACAATTGAGGGTTTTTGCTAAAAACAACCCTACAACATTTACAAATCGGGGAAATGAGGTGCACAGATTGCATTAGAATTTAAAACAGCAATGGTGTATAACTATTTAGGGATGCCAAAAAACAAAACAAAAAACAAATAATTTTTTTTATTTTTTTGTTAATCTTTTATAGATATTGTTATATACAAAGTACTAGAAATTATATGGTATTTTCCCCACACGTAACTAGTCAGATATCTCTGTATTGTTCCCCTCCAACTAGTAAACTAGTTGAAGGAGAGAAAGAGGGGGTCTTTATGGTGGAGAGTGAAGGGAATTCAGGTCCTTATCGCTAAGCTTACATCACTGTTTATGTCAATGTTCCTCTCTTGCAGGAGCTGTGTTGCATAGCTCACATTTAATAGTTACAATTCCGATGATTTAAATAGCACCAACATATAGTGCAGTGCTGTACAACAGGTAAACGGACACATAACTCATTCCAACAAAGCACGTTTGGACATATAAGAACATTGGGGGAAGAGGATCGCGTCAGGTTGGCCATTTCCTTTCAAATTTCACAAATCAGTTGCCGCACTATAACTCTCCTTTTAATCAATAGGCCAATTAATAAGTCATTTTTTTAGGCCAGTTATTCTAGCACTCCAAAGAAAATATCCATTTTGTTAAAAATGCATATCAGCCAAATGTTAAACAGGATAAAAAGGGACACTATAGGCACCCAGACCACTTCAGCTCATTGAAGTGGTCTGGGTGCAGTGTCTCGGTCCTCCTTAACCCTGTAGTCGAGAGAAACTCTGGAGTATTTTACATGGTTTTTGCAAATGTGTGTAATGATAGATTAAATGATTGTCCTTTAACCTCTTCAATGTCCTCCCTTGGCACTCAGTGTGTTAACTATGAATTCAGGATTGGTATTCAGGGTACTGCTTGCTCTAGCATTCAGTGTGGGTTAAAAGGTCTTTGCCAACGATAGGTCAAGACCCTTGTTTATCCACAAAGCAGGAGGGTTAGAGACAGATCACTGATCTTCTGCAAGTTTTAGAAATCTAGAATTTCATTTATAGTATATTTTATACTTGTAGTTTAGCCAGTGAGTGACAGACATACCAACAATTATCCCTACAAGACACTAGAACAAGCATATCAAGGCCCACAATGAATAACTTTGCGGCCTGGCGAGTTGCGAGTTTGCCATGCTTACTAAGGAGGAGTAGGCACCTGCTCTACCCACATTGAGGTGCCTGCTCTGCTAAAATGTACCCGGCTGGGGAGAAGAGAAAGGTGACGGCAGCGAGGGAGGTCAGTCTTCCTGCTCTTCACTGCTCCCTTGCACGTGCCCTCTGTAGTAGTGCTGGAATATGACGTCATTCTGGCACCCGGCATCACTAAACTGCTAGCGTGAGGGAGCAGTGAGGAGCAGGTATTAGACCTCCCAAGAGAAGATCCCCTCTGGACACCAGGGAGAGGCCCCACAACAGCTCCCAAAAGGTAGGGAACAATAAATAAAATGATGTGAGTGTATGCAAGAATGTGTAAATGTGTGTGTGTGTGTGTCGGTGACGGTGTGTCTGTGTGTCTGTCTGTCAGAGAGTGCGTGTGTGTCTGTCAGAGAGTGAGTGTGTGTCAGTCAGTGAGTGAGTGTGAGTTGGTCAGTGTTGCGATGGCCGCGGCTGTACAGTGGAGGACCTGGAGGTGCACGGAGGCACGCAATGCCACGTCAAATTCCGACGTGACGTCAACGTGCTCCATCTTCGCAGGGTTTCAAAGAATAGTGGGAGGATCTGCTTTGGCGCAGGGTGTGGACGGCGCCATTTGGGGTATACCAGAGGCTGGACTCCGGAGTTGTATACTGGCAGCAGCAATGTGAGTGGAGTCTGCTTGTTGGCTAATGTTTTGTTTTTTTGTTAGTAGAGGGGGGGACTAGGATTTAGTATAGAGGGGGTGCTGGAAACTTTTTCACACTTTTTTGCGGCCCACGTAAACGTAAACCTTGTTTATTTGGCCTGTGCTAGTCTTTGAGTTTGACATGCTTGCACTAGCATTATCAAAATTATGCAACGCAACAAGACTTATTCACAATTGTTTTATTCTTTCTTACTACAAGTTAGCGCTTGCTGCTAAAAGTTTACAAAAAAGAAAAACATTAATGGAATGGAAGAAAAGGTATTTTGTTGTATTTTCGATGGGAATGACAACAAATGGTTTTCCTTGCACAACGATGCCACAATAAAAATGAATCATTGTATCAAATAAACACATCACCAAGTTTGTCAGAGGTCAGATCATCATTTTATCCTGAGCCCATCTGGCTTAGTTGATTTTTGGAACATAAAACTAATCTGTTACATTTGTTTGAGTTCCTATGTCTTGACCCAGAACTTTAGTCAAAATAGCTTTTGGGCAGGCATATTTCAAATAGTAAGATTAATGATTGCATTGTCCAGATTGATTACTTTGTGTCAGTGTGATTTAAGTGATACTCTATACTACGATACGGTTTTGGTAAATGGGGTTCATTAGCCACGGATGCTGCTGCAGATTATATCCAAGAGATATTGTACCTCACTTAACATTGATTATAAGAGGCTATATCATTCTGTATAGACAAGCTGAAATATATTGGATTACTTAAACAGATAGAAAAAATAAAGAAAGAAAAGAAAAAAACAAATGCATTTCTTGGAAAAATAAAACAATATTTTAATTTAACAATTAAAGTAACACTCTAGTCTCGGGAATACAAACTTGTATTCCCAACACTATAGGGCTAAACTAATTGTTCAGTATCCTGCTCCTCCTCTCTGAAGTTAAAAGAAGATTTTATTTACAATTTATCCATCGCTGTCTCCATGGCAGAGACCATCAATAAATGCATCTCTGTGAGGAATGTCCAGCACCTCCATGCAAGGTGTGAAGGTTATGAACGTATGTGCTGCACACTGTGCAGCACTGACACAGGATGCACCTCTAGTGTGTCACTAGAGGTGTTACTAGTCAGCAATGTAAACACTACTTTTTCTCTAAAAAGACAGTGTTTTCATTAAAAAAGCATGCAGGGACAAGCTATACTCACCAGAGCAACTCCATTAAACTGTAGTGGTTCTGGTGGCTATAGTGTCCCTTTAAGTAAAATTAAAAGTAAAGTTGCTATATTGTTGTTGGAATCAATTTAAACACACATTTATATATACACATTTTCCTTCAAGGGAAATTATTGAAAAGAAATGTAATGAAATTCCGAGGCATAAATAAACCAAATTAGAAAAACAAAAAAATCCCTAAAATTAAATTCACGTGAAATTATTCTTTTTTTTTTTTTTTATAAATGTATTTGCATTTTAACAGACAAAAATAAATTAAAGAAAAACTGTAGAAAAAAAAGTGAATAAATGTGTTCATGTAAAAGGAGCCCTACTAGACATTTCCTATGAAAAAATGCATTACTGTGTATTTTTAGAACGATGTTAGAGCTCAAATATGACGGTTTAGTGGATATACTAACAAAGTTATGAAATTTACTAACAACTTTCTATGTCATTAAAGAATTACTCCAACTCTATTCTATCTTCATTTTTATAATGAATGATGCCCTATTAGGCATTATTCTTTAAGCCCCCCTAGAACTATTAAAGCAACACTATAGTGTCAGGAACACAAATATGT